TTTCGGCTTCTGCAACCTTCATAACAGCAGTCCCCTCCTTTCCCATACCAAGCAAAGCCCGTTGAGTTGGCCATTTAGTGCTGCAGTTTTCCTGTTAACGTGCAGCAGCAGAAACCAAACTAACCCCCTCCCCCCATCCAATTCTCTGGGATGATTGCTTTCCCCCTCCCCCCACCGCCTGGCTGGTATCAGGGAAGATCCCTGCTAGCCAATCGCGAACAGCTCAGTGCCAATGGCACCCGCCCCCCCCCACCGTGTGGCTAACTGCGGGGAGGATTTCTTTTCAGCCACAGGCAAACAGCCCAGTAGGAATGGGCACCCTGAATGTCCCCTTAATCAAATTCCCCTATTTCAACCAGGTTACCATGAACAATATCACTCTCCTGAGGATAACACAGAGAGATAAAGAACGGATGTTGCTTGAATGCCAGCAAACACCGGGACCATAAACTGCCAGGCGTTGTCATGCAATGATACCAGATTACTTGCTACTAGCATGGCATGGTAAAGTGTCCTACCCTGGAGGATGGAATAAGGCTGCTATCCCCAAAAACCTTCTGCAAATGCTTTCAGAGTACCTCCAGGAGAGCTTCATGGAGATGTCCCTGGAGGATTTCTGCTCCATCCCCAGACATGTTAGCAGACTTTTCCAGTAGCAGTACAGGCCACGAATGCATCCCAAGTCCTCAGGGCTACTTAATCATTAAAAAACGCTTGCTTTTATAACATGTATTATATTTAAAAAGGTACACTCATCAGAGGTCCCTTCTCCAGCTTCATTCGGTTGGGAGGGTATTTCAGTCAGCGTGATAAAAAGATCCTGGGTGTGGGGGAGAATGGTGTGCTCTCCCCAAGCACTGATGTGTGCTCTGATGTGTGCTCTCCCCAAGCTTGTCCTCCTCCTCATCGTCCCCATCTGCAAAATCCTCAGCCACGGCGGAGAGTACCCCATCATCGGAGTCCACGGATAGGGGTGGGGTAGTGGTGGCGGCCCCCCCTAGAATTGCATGCAGCTCAGCGTAGAAGAGGCATGTCTGGGGCTCTGTCCCGGAGCATCCGCTTGATTCTTTGGTTTTCTGGTACACTTGTCTGAGCTCCTTAAGTTTCACGCGGCACTGCGCTGTGTCCCTGATGTAGCCTCTGTCTCTCATGACCTCGGAGATTTTTTGAAATGTTTTGGCATTTGATCTTTTGGAATGTAGTTCTGATAGCACGGATTCCTCTCCCCATACAGCGATCAGATCCAGTACCTCCCGTTCGGTCCATGCTGGAGCTTTTTTTCGATTCTGGGACTGCATGGTCACCTGTGTTGATGAGCTCTGTATGGTCATCTGTGCTGATGAGCTTGCCTGGCCAAACAGGAAATGAGATTCAAAAGTTCCCAGGGCTTTTCCTGTACACCTGGCCAGTGCATCCGAGTTGAGAGTGCTGTCCAGAGCGGTCACAATGGTGCACTGTGGGATAGCTCCCGGAGGCCAATACCTTCGAATTGCGTCCACACTAACCCTAATTCGAAACGGCAATGTCGATTTCAGCACTAATCCCCTCTTTGGGGAGGAGTACAGAATTCGATTTTAAGAGAGCTTTATGTCGAAAAAATGGCTTCGTTGTGTGGACGGGTACAGGGTTAATTCAGATTTAACGCTGCTAAAATGACATAAACTCGTAGTGTAGACCAGGCCTTAGGAAGTTCTTTGGATTTCCTGCTTCCAGCTGGGCCAGAAATACCCTGTCTTGTTGTACTACAGATATCTACTTCCAGCCCTGAGAAGGATGTGCAGAGAAATGTGAAAATAATAAAACTAAACTTAAAGGGGAGGAAGTTACATACATTTTATTTCAGGCCACAAATAAGTTTACTCAGAGTATTGGATGGAAGTTTGAGTCATCAGTTCTGATTTTAGACAAACCCTTTCACCCAGCCCCTAAAAGTATCAGCTTGCAAGTAATTACATACTGTATTATGGCAACTAACAAGATTTGTTCATTGACTGCCACCACTTTGATACATCGTAGCTGATAGTTAACTTAAATTCTACTCTTCAAAATCAGGGTCTGTGCTATTCACACATGACAAGGGTTGAATGGAATGGCCTCAGAGTCATCGAAGTGACATGGCATGAAGGGTATATTTAGAAAATTATCTGTAATCAGAATGTCATTCCATTGCAAATTGTGGGGCCAATCCTGCAAGGTCCTGAGCACCTTCTGAGATGCAAGTCAATGGGAAATGATGGTACTCAGCATTTCACAGGACTGTTGCCTATAGGATTACTTGCTATGAAGATTGCAATGCATGTAATTTACTAGGAGTATTTTATTCTTAGGAGCTCTTGAAGTAAAAAGGTATAATGATCATTTGATGTATCAGAAATCTTCACATGCTGCTGTGTTGATCCATTTCCTGAAATTTTGCAAGAGGTGTTGCAATGTCATTTACAATTAAGGATTAAGAGCAACTATTAAAGTTCTGGAATTAAAACTAAGGGTATGTCTATACTACGAAATTAGGTCGAATTTATAGAAGTTGGTTTTGTAGAAAGCGTTTTTATACAGGCGATGGTGTGTGTCCCCACACAAATGCTCTAAGTGCATGTAGTCAGCGGAGTGCATCCACAGAACCAAGGCAACCGTCGACTTCCAGAGCGTTGCACTGTGGGTAGCTATCCCACAGTTCCTGCAGTCTCCGCTGCCCATTTGAATTCTGGGTAGAAATCCCAGTGCCTGATGGGGCTAAAACATTGTCACAGGTGGTTCTGAGTACATATCGTCAAGCCCCCCTTCCCTCCCTCCTTCTGTGAAAGCAAAGGCAGACAATCGTTTTGTGCCTTTTTTCTTGAGTTACCTGTGCAGACACCATACCACGGCAAGCATGGAGCCCGCTCAGCTAACCATCACCGTATGTCTCCTGGGTGCTAGCAGACGCGGTACTGCATTGCTACACAGCAGCACTTTATTGCCTTTTGGCAGCAGACAGTGCAGTATGACTGGTAGCCGTCATCCACGTAGTCCAGGGTGCTCTTTTAACTGACCTCGATGAGGTCGGGGTGCCTGGGCAAACATGGGAGTGACTCAGCCAGGTCATTTCCCTTTTAAGTTTCATCTCATGGTGATTCAGTCCTACTGGCACTGCACTGTCTTTTAATCAGCAGCCAGCAAAAGACAATGGCCAGCAGTCATCCAGCACCATCTTCTGCCGAGCACCTAGGAGATGATGATGGCTAGCGGTCATACTGCACAGTCTGCTGCCAGCAAGATGTATAAAGATAGATGAAGTGGCTCAAAACGAGAAATAGACCAGATTTGTTTTGTATTCATTTTCTCCTCCCTCCCTCCGTGAAATCAACAGCCTGCTAAACCCAGTTTTGAGTTCTATCCTTGAGGTTTTGAGTTCTATCCTTGAGGGGGCCATTCTGTTTCTTGCAAAGCCACCCCCTTTGTTGATTTTAATTCCCTGTAAGCCAACCCTGTAAGCCATGTGATCAGTCGCCCCTCCCTCCATCAGGGCAATGGCAGACAATCGTTCCGCGCCTTTTTTCTGTGCAGATGCCATACCCCAGCAAGCATGGAGCCTGCTCAGATCACTTTGGCAATTAGGAGCACATTAAACACCACACGCATTATCCAGCAGTATATGCAGCACCAGAACCTGGCAAAGCGAAACTGGGCGAGTAGGCGACGTCAGCATGGTGATGAGAGTGATGAGGACATGGACACAGACTTCTCTCAAAGCACGGGCCCTGGCAATGTGGGCATCATGGTGCTAATGGGTCAGGTTCATGCAGTGGAACGCCGATTCTGGGCTCGGGAAACAAGTACAGACTGATGGGACCACATAGTGTTGCGGGTCTGGGACGATTCCCAGTGGCTGCAAAACTTTTGCATGTGTAAGGGCACTTTCATGGAACTTTGTGACTTGCTTTCCCCCGCCCTGAGGCGCAAGAATACCAAGATAAGAGCAGCCCTCACAGTTCACAAGCGAGTGGCAATAGCCCTGTGGAAGCTTGCAACGCCAGACAGCTACCGGTCAGTCGGGAATCAATTTGGAGTGGGAAAATCTACTGTGGGGGCTGCTGTGATGCAAGTAGCCAATGCAATCAAAGATCTGCTGATATCAAGGGTAGTGACCCTGGGAAATGTGCAGGTCATAGTGGATGGCTTTGCTGCAATGGGATTCCCTAACTGCGGTGGGGCCATAGATGGAACCCATATCCCTATCTTGGGACCGGAGCACCAAGCCGGCGAGTAAATAAACCACAACGGGTACTTTTCAATAGTGCTGCAAGCACTGGTGGATCACAAAGGACGTTTCACCAACATCAACATGGGATGGCCAGAAAAGGTACATGACGCTCGCATCTTCAGGAACTCTGGTCTGTTTCAAAAGCTGCGGGAAGGGACTTTATTCCCAGACCAGAAAATAACCATTGGGGATATTGAAATGTCTATAGATATCCTTGGGGACCCAGCCTACCCCTTAATGCTATGGCTCATAAATCCATACACAGGCAGCCTGGACAGTAGTCAGGAGCTGTTCAACTACAGGCTGAGCAAGTGCAGAATGGTGGTAGAATGTGCATTTGGATGTTTAAAAGCATGCTGGCGCAGTTTACTGACTCAGTTAGACCTCAGCAAAACCAATATTCCCACTGTTATTGCTGCTTGCTGTGCACTCCACAATATCTGTGAGAGTAAGGGGGAGACATTTATGGTGGGGTGGGAGGTTGAGGCAAATTGCCTGGCTGCTGGTTATGCACAGCCAGACACCAGGGCGGTTAGAAGAGCACAGGAGAGCGTGGTGCGCATCAGAGAAGCTTTGAAAACCAGTTTCATGACTGGCCAGGCTACGGTGTGAAAGTTCTGTTTGTTTCTCCTTGATGAAACACCCGCCCCTTGGTTCACTCTACTTCCCTGTAAGCTAACCATCCTCCCCTCCTCCCTTCGATCACCGCTTGCAGAGACAATAAAGTCATTGTTGCTTCACATTCATGCATTCTTTATTAATTCATCACACAAATAGGGGGATAACTACCAAGGTAGCCCAGGAGGGTTGGTGGAGGAGAGAAGCACTAGGAGGGGTGATGGAGGAGGGAAGGATAAGACCACACAGCACTTTAAAAGTTTAAAACTTTAAAACTTATTGAATGCCACCCTTCCGTTGTTTGGGCAATCCTCTGGGGTGGAGTGGCTGGGTGGCCAGAGGCCCCCCCACCGCGTTCTTGGGAGTCTGGGTGAGGAGGCTATGGAACTTGGGGAGGACTGTGGTTGGTTACACAGGGGCTGTAGCAGCGGTCTGTGCTCCTGCTGCCTTTCCTGCAGCTCAACCATATGCTGGAGCATATTAGTTTGATCCTCCAGCAGCTTCAGCATTGAGTCCTGCCTCCTCTCATCACACTGCCGCCACCTTTCAGCTTCAGCCCTCTCTTCAGCCCAACACTTACTCTCTTCAGCCCGCCACCTCTCCTCCCGGTCATTTTGTGCTTTCCTGCACTTTGACATTGTCTGCCTCCATGCATTCGTCTGTGCTCTGTCAGTGTGGGAGGACAGCATGAGCTCAGAGAACATTTCATCGCGAGTGCGGTTTTTTTGCCTTCTGATCTTCACTAGCCTCTGGAAAGGAGAAGATCTTGTGATCCTTGAAACACATCCAGCTGGTGAAGAAAAAAAAAGGGACAGTGGTATTTAAAAAGACACTTTTTATAGAACAATGGGTACACTTTTTCACAGTAAACCTTGCTGTTAACATTACATACATAGCACATGTGCTTTCATTCCAAGGTCGCATTTTGCCTCCCCCCCAGCACATGGCTAGTCCCTCCACCCTGCACCCTCCCTGTGGCTAACAGCAGGGAACATTTCTGTTCAGCCACAGGCAAACAGCTCAGCAGGAACGGGCACCTCTGAATGTCACCTTAAGAAAAGCACCCTATTTCAACTAGGTGACCATGAATGATATCACTCTCCTGAGGATAACAGAGAGAGATAAAGAACGGATGTTGTTTGAATGCCAGCAAACATACACTGCAATGCTTTGTTCTACAATGATTCCCAAGTACGTCCTACTAGCCTGGAGTGGTAAAGTGTGCTACCATGGTGGATGGAATAAGGCTGCCCTCCCCAGAAACCTTTTGCAAAGGCTTTGGGAGTACATCCAGGAGAGCCGCGAAAGCCAGGGCAAATTAATCATTAAACATGCTTGTTTTTAAACCATGTATAGTAATTTAAAAGGTACACTCACCAGAGGTCCCTACTCTGCCTGGTGGGTCCGGGAGACAGCCTTGGGTGGGTTCGGAGGGTACTAGCTCTAGGTCCAGGGTGAGAAACAGTTCCTGGCTGTTAGGAAAACCGGTTTCTCCACTTGCTTGCTGTGAGCTATCTTCCTCGTCCACAAAACCTGCTTCCGTGTTGCCTCCATCTCCATTGAAGGAGTCAAACAATATGGCTGGGGTAGTGGTGGCTGAACCCCTAAAATGGCATTCAGCTCAGCGTAGAAGTGGCATGTTTTGGGCTCTGACTCAGAGCGGCCATTCTCCTCTCTGGTAGGCTTGCCTCAGCTCCTTAAGTTTCACACGGCACTGCTTCGGGTCCCTGTTATGGCCTCTGTCCTTCATGCCGTGGGAGATTTTGACAAATGTTTTGGCATTTTGAAAACTGAAATGTAGTTCTGATAGCATGGATTCCTCTCCCCATACAGCAATCAGATCCCATACCTCCCGTTCAGTCCATGCTGGAGCTCTTTTTCAATTCTGGGACTCCATCATGGTCACCTCTGTTGATGAGCTCTGCATGGTCACCTGCAGCTTGCCACGCTGGCCAAACAGGAAATTGAAATTCAAAAGTTCACAGGCCTTTTCCTGTCTACCTGGCCAGTGCATCTGAGTTGAGAGTGCTGTCCAGAGCGGTCACAATGGAGCACTCTGGGATAGCTCATGGAGGACAATACCGTCTAATTGTGTCCACCGAACCCCAAATTCGACCCAGCAAGGCTGATTTCAGCGCTAATCCCCTTGTCGGGGGTGGAGTAAGGAAATCAATTTTAAGAGGCCTTTAAGTCAAAAAAAAGGGCTTCATCGTGTGGACGGGTGCAGGGTTAAATCCATTTAACACTGCTAAATTCGACCTCAACTCCTAGTGTAGACCAAGGCTAAAACTATTCCTACACTACACCATTTATGATATTGGCACTTGCAAATGAGAATGAGTTTATTAATGTTTAATTGTTTTTAAAACAAAAGGATCCCTTTAATGCTTCCATGAAGACACTGTCTCTTCTCTTTGCTGAATATCACTAATTACTTCACAGACAAAAATATTTCCTCATTGTAATTCTGAATCAGCGTAAAAATCTTCAGTGGGGGAATCTCCATATAGTCAGTCTCTCTCTTATCTCTTTCATGTGCTGCTTTAAATTTTTATTCCAAAACCCAGATGTGGCTTGGTAAAAAAAATGCCCATTTAAACAGGGACTGTATGCCATAATCAATCTGTTAGCAATTAAACCAAAAACCAGAAGATACGAGCTTATGATTTGTGGAATTCATATGGAGGACGTTATTTTCATGAATTCATGAAAGCCCAGTACCAGTGTCATTTAACATTATAATCCTACTGTACCAGGACAGCAACTGGATCACACAGATCTCCTGTCACATGAGATTGTATGCCATATGTCTCACACATTAATTCCTTTACCCAGGATGAATGGGAAATCAACATTTTGATTCCATTGCTAGATATTCGGCTGCACCAATAATGATGACATCAAGCAACATTAAGAGCTAAAGGAAACTCCAGTGTGAAAGTGGATTGAGTTAAAAAAGAGTCAGTTTAGCCCCACAGCTCTCACCTTTAGAATCCAGAGCACACCTTCTCCATGTGCTGACTGCAGCTTCCCTCACTCTGATGTGATGAATACAAATCAATTGCATGGCCACGAGAGTGTATTTCCCTGAAAGACACACACAGCTGCTTGATGTACCCATGGACATGTGGTTTCAATAAATGTAACATATAACACATATGGCAGATATATATCTCCAATTGCCTGTGTCTGACTTTTTGCTTTTGGATTATCTTATCCATATAGGTAACAGCTAAGAAGATTAATTTGCTAATGATGAGGTTTATATTCCTGTGAACAACAATTCTTGTACTCCTAATGTGGATGGTTTGTTGTTTTTGTTTGTTTGATTTAAGAGGAAGATAAACTTATTTCTTACAGATCACAACATTATTTCATTTATACTACTCCATCAAATGTCCCCCCATCTCCCCCAGCTTGTATTGCTCTGTACACTCAAGTTAAGGTCATAGCTCTAATTCACTGAGAGCTAAACTGTGGTTTTAACTCATTGCCCCGGTGCAGGTGAAAAGTGCTGGTGGTAGCCCTGGCATGTATTGTGCTTCTCAAGGGCCACTGTGGGCCCACATTACAATAACATCAGTTTTATTCTTCAAGAAAGTGTGATGCGCCACATTGCACCAGCATTCAACAGCTAGCGCAAAATGGCTACAGGGGCTGTGTCCCTGCCCTCTATGGGCTTTCTGGTACCAGTGTCTGTACTAAAGTCCCTAGTCCATACGTGCCAGAAGCGTAAGTATGGAATTCATGCCCCCTCTCTAGTCCTTGTAAAACAATAGCACTACATCCTCCCACCCTTATGCCCTCCACACCACAGTGTCCCTCTTGCAATCACAGACAGACACAATCCAGCACTAAGTAGGCAAATACTACAGTGAAGGTCTCTGAACACCTCCATACATTGAGCTTGATTAGTACAGTGTCTTTCATTATTGCTTGTCTCAATACATAGTACATTTTACAAGCTTCCCTGAGGCTGTTTTGACAGGAGAAACTATCAGTGATTACGGGATTACATCCGTCTGACCCTAGGACACTTATCGTCCCATGGGCAGCTAGGGGTTATACTCCACTGAGGTTGAAGATGTTCTGGGTCAGTATTTCAGGCACAGCCCTTCCTTGCCAAATTTGGTGAGTCCCATTTTGTAACCACTGCTAAAGAAAGCGTTGGGGGAGATTATGTAAACATCCTGCTCTTACTTTATTAAAAGTTCCTGATCTCGGCCATTAGGAGTCTCTCACCAAAAGATGGTAGCCATAGAAATTAAAAGAGACTGAACTGAATCTTTTCCACAAGTTAGAAATGCCAGAGCAATACACACACACCCTATGTAATCTATACATGGCATATTCAAGCAAGCAGTTTATCATCAATTTTTCCAGCAAAAACAGGGCTGCCAGGAGCAGGAAGCATTTTATTATTGCCACTTTTATAAGGCTTTACAACATTTTATATCCCTAAATTGCCAGTTAACTGCCAGCTATAGAACAGGCTATTCTTTCTTTTTGCATATTATTAGACAATGTTTACTGGGAGCAGAAGCCTCAGGTAATCCACACTTACAGGTGTTCCTCTCTCTTTTCAATTCCTTCTTCCACATGAGCTGAGAGATATGAGCACCTGAAGAAACTAAGGGCCTGGCTTTCGAAAAGGTCAAGTGACCAGGCATGCATATAAAAATACATGCATCTAATTTGCACATGTAATTACAGCAACCACATGCAATCAGGTATTTACAGGCACAACCAGTTGTGCCACTAAATTAATTGGCTGCACAAAAAATCCATTTGTGTGCAATCATAGTGATCGCTTGTATGAATTAGACACAAATACATATGTATTTTAAGAAAAAATAATTATAGTTTTCACACATTTTTGGTATCTAAACTTTTGAAAATGAGGCTGAGTGGATGCGCGAGAGGGAGGGAAGAACTGACTTTCAAAATTTCCTGAGACCAAATAGACTTTTTTCCTGTGTTATGGGAGATTTTACTGTCTTGAAAAACAATTATGAATTTAAAGCAATCTTGATCCTGACAAACAGGTGGGCTAGAGGAGCCTCTGGAGAGAAACAAAATGGTCTCATCCGATGTTGCAATTTAGCCACCCCCTTTAGGTATCTGCAGTCATTGTGTGAACTTCATTAACAGTAACAATAGTAATTCCTAGCTTATATATATACAGCTCTTATTATTAAACCATAGGATTGAACTCTTACAGGGTATTCCACAGGGCTAGAGCAGACAGATATTTCAAATTAATCAATGCTATGGCTTTGTTACTATGATTAATGGCATTTGTGTACTGCTGAAGGATCCAATTCAACCCCAACAATGTCATTTTTACTTTCCTATGATAACCACACCTTAAGCCAAATCCTGCTGTTCTTACTCAGATCTTATTCAGGCAAAATTCCAGTTAATTTCAATGGAATTTTTGCCTGACTAAGGATCCCAGTATCTGGCCCTTTAAATTTATGTAAAAACAGGATGAGTAATGCAACCTGTCACTTAACAGATATCATGTAATGTTGTGTTGTATGCTTTAATATGGAATCAGCTGGAACTGGCATGGCCCAGTGGCCTGAACATATGATAGGAAGCTAGGAACTCCTAAATTCAAATCCCAGCTGTGAGAGCAGCTTCTTTTCTGGCCTTGGGTGAGTCACTTAAGCCGTCTTTTTTCAGTTCAGTAAAATGGAGGTGATAATACTAGGCTATGAGAATTAGTGTTTGTAAAGCAGTTTGCAAAAAGTTTTTAAAAATATACTATTTAGATCCATGTATTATAATAACTAAAAATGCATTAAGCATTTCAGGCATAGCTGTAGCGGTGTAGTGTAGACATTTCCTACATCAATAGAAGAGGTTTTTCCATGTAGATAATCCATCTCTCCAAGAGGCAGTAGGTAGTTTGAGGGAAGAATTCTAGTTGCATCTACTGCAGGGGTTAGCTCAACCTAACTACAGCACTCAGGGTGTGAAATTTTTCACAGCCTTAAGATCTAATTTTTAAGTGTAGACTGCCTTCTCCTTTGATGTTGCAAGTGCCAAGAATGGAGTTAGACTTACTTGGTCCTTGTGCGGTGAGGGCATAAAGACATGATTGTAGCTGGCTCCTATGGACAGGAACCCTCTTCCCGCATCACACTACACACCAGTACAGAACCTCTATGTATTTGTATTAAAATGCTCTCCTGAAGAGCCAGGAAGTTGTGTAAAAAGATTTCAGAGAGATTCCACAGGACAATGACTTAAGAGCTGGAGTTACACATTGCTGTGCAGCAATGTCCATATTTATTCTGATTATTCCTCCACATCAGTCACACATGCTACTTATGCAGATGTTAACAGAATCTATCTTAGTCATGCCGGGGCTTGAACCAGTGACTTTTACAGCTAAACAAATATCTCAGTAGCTTGGAGCTGTAACATACTCAAACCTGCTGAATCAGGTTGAGACAGAGGATATGAAACACACTGACTAGCAGGTTACACAGACACTGTGTTGAACCAGGACACGCACTAATCAGAAGGAGCTCCAGTACCATCCTGGAAATCATGAAGAAAAAGAGAAACAAATAGGGGAAACAGGATACCCTTCAAGAGAATTAGTGAGAGGCTCTTTAAATGGAATAAATGCATGAAAGCTTTCCAAAGCTATAAAAAAAATCTGCTTTTTAGCTGCTTTATGAGTTCTCAAAATGATAGCCCTTAAAAGCATTTCTGGGGGTTGAGTGAAATTCTAATTAGACCTATCTCTCTCTCATTGATATACATTATTTTCTTCAAAGCAAATGAAGGAAGAAAATAATGTATATCAATGAGAGAGAGACAGGTCTAATTAGAATTTCACTCAACCCCCAGAAATGTCCCAGATACGTATTTTGTTTTTGTTTGTTTGTTTTAAAGGAAGAGGAAATGTAGGTGAGAAATCAACTCCTAAAATGATAGGCACCTCACCAGTATATTAATAGAAATATCACATGGGAAAGTGATAACTGGAGTACAGAAGCATCTCCTTTTAGAAAATTTAGTCCACACAATTCTTCTCACCTCAGCGACACTCTCTCTTACCATAACGCAACCAGCCCTGAAATCAAGATGTTTCAGTGGAAGAACTATTTAAAATACAGACTAAAATACAAAATATTTTCCATCGCCTAAAGTGCCAAAGAATTAACTTGTTTTATCTAAAGCACCAGGTGTCAGTGCTTTGTATGCACTTAACTCTGATTACTGCTGCTGTCTGACCCCACTGCATACTTTTCCACTGCATGCATCCAATGAAGTGAGCTGTAGCTCACGAAAGCTTATGCTCAAATAAATTTGTTAGTCTCTAAGGTGCCACAAGTAATCCTTTTCTTTTTGTGAATACAGACTAACACAGCTGTTATTCTGAAACCTGTCAATAGACATATGTAATCACCAGCGAAGGATTCAATGCAGGCTTGTTTTTTAGAGGAGAAGGTAGATAATAAGGGGGCTGTGGGGGAAGTGAAGGGGTGCCTGTCTAATAATACCTGTATTGCAGCAGCATAGCAAAGCTTTCAGTACACACACACACACACACGCACGCACACAGTTACTTTTATTTTTGCTGCAAACAGTTTCATGATTGATAGGAAACAACATATAAGGATGCATCCAATGAAGTGAGCTGTAGCTCTCAAAAGCTTATGCTCTAATAAATTTGTCAGTCTCTAAGGTGCCACAAGTCCTCCTTTACTTTTTACGGATACAGGCGAACACGGCTGCTACTCTGAAACATATAGGGTTGTTTGGGAAAATGGTGCTATTTACATTAGATAGAATACAAGCAAAAGCCTTCAGAAAGAGCCATGCTTCACAAAGGTCCATTTCTCTGGAGTGGACCGACCCCGAATTCTACACCCCAACAGCCTCATGCACTTGGAAAAGTTTAATTGTACTGCTCCCAGACATCTAGAGGTCCACCATGCAAATGTTATGGCTTGAGCCCCAATACAACATCCCGTCAGAAGGCAAAAGTTAATTATTTATTAAATCATCTTGTTAAAACCTCAGGAAGCTCATAACTGCCTAAACTTGAGAAGTCAGGCTGTTGTAAAGCACGTGCACTATGGCAGGCAGAGCACAATAAAAGAGCATGGTCTTGTGGCCAGAAATAGGGGCCGAAAGTAGAGACACTTAGTGGCCCTGTTGACTGACTGACCCCCTGGCGATCTTAGATAAGTCACTTTACCTTAGTTTCTCCCTCTGTAAAATAGGGTTAATGCTTCACTGACTCATAGGGATAGTCTGAGGCTTAATTAATATTTTAAAAGCACATTGTAATCCCAGCATGATGCCTGTTCTTGACAGCCTGGTAAAAGCATATTCGATACCAAAGATACGCATTGCAAAATCAAATGTTCTCGAGAATAAAACAATGTGCTTTTAAAATATGGGACACTTTTGTCCCATAGCAGATTTGGGGGAAGTAAGAGATGAGTTAATAGAACCTAAAAAGTTGAAGACCTGTGGGGGAAAAATCACAACCCACAATGTGTCCTCATTTCTCCTAAGTTCAGAAAGAATCTGGTTTCCACAAACACATAATTGTTGGCCTTTCAAAAGCAAATATCACTGAAGCCTGATTGCATGGAATGGATACTGTATGATAGGAAGTGAGATCCACTGCTTACCTTATCATTCATCCCTGCCAACTCATTGGTACAGAAAGGCGTCGCCCTCTGGAGGTAAAAGAGCTCAGCCCATCAATCCACAGTGACATTCACTCCCCAATTATACATTGTTTAATTAAAAACTAGATGGCTGATCTTACAGCATCGTTATATATGGACTACATTTGTAAGATTCCTAACCTTTATTGAAACAAAGATGGGAAGACAGCTCGAATAATTACAGGAATAGACTAGCCACATTGATGGATAATTTGTAATGGCTTTTACTGGGGACTAGCTACTGTCACAATTGTATCTTTGGGCCTTTTGATGTTTCCTGTTGAACAAGTATTTAAAATGCTGTATAGTAGCGGCACAGCCCCTTCCCCTGTACATGAAAGCTGGCAATTATGCAGCTGCAGGCAACATAAAAGGCCTTTTAAAAAATTGCACATATGCTTTAATAACACGTCTGCCTTCTGACTGCTTTATGCACCATGTGTTATTTTAAGGGTTCTGTTCCTGCAGGGCCATATCTCAGTAATGGTGAGGGGTTGGTGACTGCTGTGGGAAGGGATGGCTCACTCTGCATAGTGATTACACTCAGGGTATTACAAAGTGAGACAAGCGTGTCAGGGCTGTTCCCTGTCCAAAGCAATTGCTGCCTCCTGAAATTCCTTCTCCTCTCTAAGAAATCTAATTATCAAAAGACAAAGCTGCAGGGGATCTATGAATTTTGTACATGTTCTTGCAGTACATAATAACTGCTGTGCAGTTCCTGTTAATTAATGCTGATGATTTGCATTTACATTGGACCTAACTTGATGACACACTTTGTTCATCAGAGGCGGGGGGGGGGGGATTTATAATTCGTCAGCTCAGATTGTAGAGATGGATACATTAGCCTCCATTGATCACAGTGATATAATGATATAATTCAGGCACAGTACAGCACTTTATATCAGGCCAATGATAAGTTACTTTGGTAATCCTGTGCCATGCTTCTGTCTCTCAGTACGTTATCTACTTAAGGCCTTAAGATTTCAGTTTGATTTTGCTCCCCTCCCCCCACTGCTTTCTCTCTCCCTCTCTCTTTTGGTGGTGGTTGCTGAGCAAAATATTAATGGGAAATATGAATGAAAGTCAGTGAGAGCACTAATACAATGATCTTTACATTTGCAGAAAATACAGTTCCAAGACTATTTTTCATAACAATATCAATAATTAGCAGTTCAGCGGTACATCTCAAAGAGTTTACAGAAGTGGTAGGTGTGATTATGCCCATTTTGCACCCGGAGAAACTAAGGCACAGAAAGCTATGGGAGTCTGACCCTGCACCCATTGAAGTCGATATGGTCACTGCCTTCAATGGGTGCAGAATCAAGCTATAAATGACTTGCCAAAGTAAGTCAGTGGCAGGGCTGAACACAGAAGCCAGTTTTCCTGATTCCCACTCTCATCATAACCTATTTTAAGGACCATGCTGCCTGTAAGTTATTACAGTAAGTGGCTCTTTAGCATACAATATTGGACATGGAGGGAAGTGCTATATATTTTAATACAATTCTTCTACAATGTTCTCTTCTCATTTTCTTCTGTTACCTTTTCATTACGTTACACATACTGTTCATCTTACAGGACAGAAATATAGCTTACATTCAAATTCTATTTCCATTTAATATTGTGTTAAATTTTGATTTCCAAATTCCCTAGAGAAAACAGTATCACCTAACTTTTCTTCACATGATATTTGAATGTTAAAATACTCTCCAAGCAGAAGTTCAGATTGCAGTAGAGATGCCCCTAAACCAAACTCCCAGGACTTTAGTCATGAGTCACATTTAGAGAGAGCTGCACCTTTGACCCCTCTCAGGTCTCTCAGCAGGTACCACTTCATGTAATAGGGCCTGTGCCATCATCTCTCTCTGGGTGAAATCCTGCAATTCTCCCACTCTTAGACCAGGTCCCCAGGCTACAGCCCTCTGTGTTTCATCCATGATTTCTCAACAGGGCCAACTAGGGTCATCACCTGCAAATCCTCCCTTTGGGACTGTGACCAGTGAAGAATAGAGGGAGCCCAAAGCAGCCTTCTTAAAACAAAGCATTGTTTAATCCTAACAGTACCATAACCTAAGAAGAGAAAAGGATTTTAAAACCACAGGCTATATGCTTGTCTATCATATCTAAAGGCCTATCTTACCCTCCTGACCTCAGGGTATGAATATCAAACTGCTCCCCAATAATCTCTGCCCCAGTCTCTCCCATAACTGTCTGGCCTCTGTGTCTTTAAAAAAATCTCCCACACCCTAACTGCTGAAGTTCAGACATTCCTGGAGAAACCTGTTTAGCAAACCCAGTAGGAGGAGGTTGTTGTATTAGATGGAATATATGGGCCCAAAGAGTCAAAGATGTTAACTTAACCCTATCAGGCTCCAATATTAAATGGTGTTAAAGTTCAGGGTTTGATATACAGAGATCTCAGCCTGCTTAGTACCAAGGTAAATACCTCATTAAAAATCCTTTTGTGAAAAAACAAAACCTTTGATTAAACATAGAGAGAGAAAAAAGAAAAAAAGTTAAAGCATTTGCTCTCATTTTAACAACATCCCGTGTTCCTTTTCCCTTTAACTGCAGAGAGTTTTGAGAAGAAAAAATCCCTTTATTTGACAGTCTCAAATGGTAATAACTCATTTTTGGGGAAAAGAGAAGATGTTAGTTGAGGTAGACTGGAGCTGTTAAAGTTCGATCCCATTTTCTAGAAGACAAAACAAGACAAACACACAAAAGTGGAAAGAAAAGAACAGCAAAGAGAAAATGCAGCTTCTGTCTCTGGGGTTGACTCTCACTTGCAGCCTAGCTGGTGGAAAAACACAGAAACAGCACATGGCCTTATCAACCACTCTGAAACCTGGCAAACCCGTATCAGCGTCAAGGTGTTTAGGACATCGTTTTTGGCTGTCTCTCCGGTCACATATTTAAAACGTTTCAAAATATGCAGAAAGGGGGAAAAAGGAAAGGGATAAGGAAAGAAGAGAAGGGTGTGGAAGGACAAGGAAGAGGGAAGAGGGGCAGTGTAACCAAGTCTCACATCCCAGGTGGAAATTGGGATTAGCTAGAGCATTGGAGGTGGTGATGTCATCTCTCTGGCCCAGATTAGTCAGGACTTCTCTCAGGATTAGGAAGAAGGCGGCACAATGTTGTCACACTGGATCCTGGGAGATGGTGGGGCTGGCAGCCATAATGATGGAGCTCGTTCCATCCCCTTCTTTCCGTCTGTTATCCTTCATGGCAGCCAGTTTTCACCACAAAAATCTCTTTTTGAGAATCCCAAAAGGGACTCATGGAAAGAACAGCCTGTCCTCTCGTTATTTTGTCCACCAATTAGGCCTAATTTCTGACATGCCAGTTTTGGTCCCTTAATTTCCAGTCCCACAATTCTCTTGCTTGCCAGGCATGATCTGAACACAGTCCTTGATTTATATCAGTAGATCTTTTTGCTTGTTTCTCCATCTCTCATTTGCATCTTTCCCCATTAACATTTATGGTTATAGGTTATTGTGGCACGTTATAAACTTGGTCACAATTAAGGGCCTTGTAGGCCCAGTTATTAAAACAGGATCTAGCCAGAGCATCGCATCAAATTACTCCAGCACTGCCCAGATGTTGTAGGAGATGTTACCAGGTCATCGTCTCCCTTTGTCTACCTGCTGTCAGCTCCTGATTGAATTAACCCTTTATACTAATAGAGTAAACACCACAACAGACAAACTGATGGAGCATATAAATTCATAAAATATTACCAGCAGCTCAAATGTCCTTCATAACTTGGATCTGGGCCCAAAGTTTGCAGCTCAGACCCATCTCTAGTAGGGCTTGTTGTAAGTTTTCTGTCAAAACAAGTTGACAGAAAATTAGGTTTTCAGCTATGTTTGTGAAAAGGGTCTGCTTTCCACAAAATAATGCAGTTTTTGTTGAGAAATTAAACCTTTGAAAATTGAATTTAGTTTCACAATAGCTGCCATGGTGCCTTATGGGAGTTGTAGGTATGGGTGCCTCATGCTCTCATTCTCCTCTATGGGATGAGCTTGATGGCTGGCCTAGATCTCCCATGCTGCTTCATGGTGGCTTTGCAAGAGGGGAGAACAGAGGGCATCATGGAAAATGTAATATACCCAGAGGAGAACGGGGGCACAAGGCACCCAAACTGTAATTCCCATGAGGCACCATGGCAGCATTGCCAAATTAACATTTTCTGAATTACAACCAACATTTTTTTTCTTTTTTGAGTGTTCAATTTTTTCAATGAAAATTTTGTTTTCCATGGGGGGGGGGACTTAAAGAGGTTTTATCTCTAATATCTAGACTTCTAATTTCAAACTTCAAAAGTCATAAGCATGGCAAGTTATTGAGTCAGTTGTTAGACTACATCCTTTGTACATCCTTAATCGTCTTCTTATCCTAAGGGCTTGTCTACAGTGCCCCACAGTTCCAACTTCAGGCAGTGCAAATAGCAGTGTATACCAGAGTGCATATAGTCATACAGAAAACACTTCAATAATCAGTTTAACATATGGTTTTCATAAGTTATTAGAGACAGCCCCATATCTGTCACAAGGTCTATACAACCAAACCGTCAAACAACCACCATTTCTGGTGACATATTGTTCTGTACAATTTCCCCCTGTGATGTTGACAGATCAGAGCCCTCGGGCTATTCACTGGTGTGTGAAACTACAAAGGAGTGTTAAAAGGTACTGTTGTGCATCTAGACAATTCACTTGTTAAAACAGATGTTAATTGTATTTGTCTTCATCTACCTATATCCTGTTTGATGTATACTAGTGTAACTAAATTAACCTGTTGTTGCTATATCCTTTTTCATGTCCTGTAATTCTGTGATTACCTGTACATTAAGTATGCAACTCTACTTAGTTAACATTAGGTCAAAAGGCCTGTATTTAGTGTTTATATGTGAACATACTTAATATGTAAATGATATGAAAGCCAATGAAGAATTGTTTCCGGCTATCCTATTATGTACTCTCTGGTAATTAAATAACCTTAATTTACAGTGTGTTCGTTTTAAGATAAGAATGTATTTGATGTGAAAGCTTCATGAAAACTGCCTTAGAACTGTAACTGAGGAA